AACTGAACTTTGAGCGAAAGAAGTAATTTCGAAACTGCTGTGCTCGCGTACATGGTAAAGCCAAAATTTGGAAACTTAAATTAGTTATGAAAATGAAGAATTGATCGTCGCAGTGAACGCAATTTATGCAATTGCGTAGAGAAGCCTGAAAAAAATTCAGGACTTCAACGGGGTTTGAACCCGTGACCTCGGATTACCGGTGCGATGCTCTACCAACTGAGCTATGAAGCCACTGACGTTGTGAGCCGATCAATTGTGGGTTCATATGTTCCCGTAAAAGAAATGAGTGTTAATGATATATGAAATAAATCATATGATGAACTGCGGAAATGAAATGAAAATGAAGAAATGATCGTCGCAGTGAACGCAATTTATGCAATTGCGTAAAGAAGCCTGAAAAAAAATTCAGGGCTTCAACGAGGTTTGAACCCGTGACCTCGCGATTACCGGTGCGATGCTCTACCAACTGAATTATGAAGCCACTGACGTTCGGAGCAGGTCAATTGTGGGTTCATATGTTCCCGTGAAAGAAATGAGTGTTAATGATATATGAAATAAATCATATATGAAATTAGTTAATTGGAAATAACTCGGTTAAGTCCCCAAGTGCGACCGCAGCCATATGGGTACTCAAATCACTAGACGTGATATGGGTATCACCGGCTAATGACAAGTTCATAATTCCTCTATATGGTTGGCGAAATGGTGCAAAATTCACAAATCCAATATTCATTCACATTTAATGATTTCATTGTGGTTCATGAATATATTCATTCACATTCAACAACTACGTTGTTATTAGTCATATACACAAATTCACATTCAACGACATCTTTCTTAGTTACAAATATATTTATTTAAATTCTCGACACATTATATCACTCACTCTCAAAGTCAAATTTTCTATTCCACACGGCTGCAATATTCTTTCAACATTTTGTGCGCATCTCCTTTTACGTCACTGGATCCCAGACTCCTCCCCGCTCCATCTTTTGGAAACAAGTGACTACAATTTTTTTTTTATCGACAAAAGTGAACAATAAGGCAGATGAAGAAAGACCGAATAAACGGGAAAACAAGTAAACGTCTCCTTTACAGTGTAAAGAAGTATTTTTGGCAGCAGGGGATCTACTAGGCGAAAAATGCGAATGTGAGTGGACTCAACCAACGTTGTAGTAAGAGAAAATATCCAGATAAAGTGAGATTATCTCATACGAGCTTTTCAACTGCAAGTACTGCCTATTGTCAGAGTCAGTAGCGCAGCCTTAGATGAAATACTGCGAAGTATGAGCCTTTTTTACGGACAATGAACTCGAAACCACTTATCAAACTGCCCAAAACCTTGCGGTATATTGTATCAACACCCCAGAAATCGTGCGATCGGGTAACGTAGGTCTTCCTGGGTCTTTCATATCAGGAGAAGTACTTCTCCATCTCCGATCGTCTGCTTTCACTTGCACAAATTTAAATTTTAGCCCAAATTCTCCTTGTTTCAAGGTGGGCATTGAGACGTCGACTTGAAGAGTTGGGTGAGAGGGTATCACAGGCTTCTTGGTGATTTCAGGTGTGCAACTAAACAATCTCGTAGATAACGTTTTATGAGAGAGCATAGGACTATGGTCGGGTATTCCTTGGTGTCTTGTCATCTTCGGTCTCTAGCTCTCATAGTTCCCTGAGACCGAATCAGGCATAGTACCGCTGGGCAGTAGTAATTTCCAGAAGAGCATACTTTGTCGCCGATCCAGATAGCCTGGTATATCGATGAACACCATAGTGACTTGGGGATTTGTCATACATGGGGGAATAGACGGGTTTTCTCGCCTTATTATAGTTTATTCGGAATTCTCCACTAATAACAGAAGTAACACAGTCTTAGATATGTTCCTCACAGTAACACAAAACTGCTATGAGTGATCATAAAGAGTACGAAGTGATCATGGCGGGGAAAATGTAGAGGTGTGGAATGCAAAGGAAGAAGCTAGGGCTTATTCGAGGGAGCCTTTAGCTTAGTGCCAGTCTCTCTTCAACATTTAATCAACTTAATTCCTACACAGTCGAACCTGTATTAGGCGGCACCGTATTAAGAGGTCACCCTCTATTAAGCGGGCAGTTTTCAAAGTCCCGAAAATTACTTCCCTTGATGTACTGTAATTTCGACCTCTATTAAGCGGTCACCTCTATTAAGCGGTCGCGGTCACCATTTGTGAAGTCCCAACAGGACCTTTTCTATTGTCTTGACTTGTATTAAACGGTTACACCGTGCCAGTTACATGTTCATACAGTTTCAAATACTGTAACACACGAGACAACAATTGATTTCCTTGCTTATTTTCGCAAATCATTAAAACGCAGGAAATGAATGTTTCTATTTGAGGTCAAACGTCTGCTCTGATCAGCACTGGAGATCGAACTCATTGAACTGTATTTCTTGCAACCTGAATTAGGCGGTCACCCTGTATTAAGCCGTCACTTAGGGTAGCCGCTTAATACAGGTTCGACTGTACACTGAATGGTATTGTTATACCTGCCTCCTCCACAGACTTTCCCAAGGCTTTCTCAAGGCTCAGTGAAGAGCACTAAGGGAGAGAAGAACGCCAGAAACAACAAGCGAGAAGCGCGACAGGGGAATAATGGCACAAATATTCCCCAAAAAGTGATCGCGAGCGACGGGGAAACAGTCCCCTACCATGAAACAAAACCCATTAGTATATACACACTCAGTGATCTTGGTGATTTAAGCAATCTGATTGGTTCGCTATCTCGGACTATTCAACAATATTCACCTCCAAGCGAGTGGATAATGTGTGAGCTCAGTGTTTTTCCCATTTTTTTAGAGAACGATCTTTTAAAAGTCGACAAAATCCTAGGGCTGACTTTTTTTAAGGCCAGGAAAGACTTGGAAGGATTCAATACGGCGTTTTTCAATTTACTGTAGCTGAGTTTTGTGCTCGATGGATTGTTTACAACTCCCGTATCAGTTCGCGTGAAGAAGCCGTTTCGTGAATTCAGCGTTTTCTAACAAGAAAATTTTGGCTCAAAAATCGAAGTTTATTTATGACAAACAAATTTAAAAGGAAATGTTTGCAGAAATTCTACGTTTCAAGTAAACAGGAAAAAGAATGATACAGGAAGACGACGTCTTACCTCGAGCAACCGAGCCGGCCATTTTTGTCAGCACTTCATGCGAAGAACGACACAACAAGACCTTTTGGCTATAAACTTGGCGAGTCAACAGAAAACAACAAAGCTCCACTTTTCTTCTCAGGTAAGGAAACAGTTCAAACTTTTAGCGGTTCCATTTAAGCCATTACGCTGTTGTTTGCGAAATGATAAACTTGTGAATTGCCATGTTTGAAAGTTCTGCAAAGATCTATTTTTAAACTTCCGCGTGATTTGATCTGTCAATCAAATTGTACTTTTTAATGGTTTCCTCTCTGATTTTGTTGAGATCACTTCTTGTGTATATACTAAAACAATTATTCTTTTCAATCTCGGTGAATAGTGGCTTTGGAAATATTTACCTCGCCGCTTTCGCGGCTCGGCAAATATTTAGCCACTATTCACCTCGATTTCAAAGAATAATTGTCAATTATTACATTATTCATTTCAAAATGTTTCTCCGTTCCTGATTGGCTAAAATCTAAGGCATAAGTCACCATAACCAGCTATTGTCAAACAAAATTTGGAAGAATTTTGCGATATTGAACTGATGACGTCAAGTGTGGAGCAAAATTGACAGATTATCGAACCCTTAGCCGGGAAGACCTGGGGTCGAGTTTGAGTTGTTTAGGTGGTGAGTACAAAATGGCGGAACATTTTACTCGTTGCACCGCGAACTATTGTCTAAAAACTTAGCAAGAATAGCAAGAAGACAACTCCACAGGCGGCATCTGCTATTTGCAGTATATTTGCAGACCTGAACAGCTCTTTATCTCCTAAAATTCCCGATAAACATACACTTTCGAGATGAACTTAACATCGACGAAGGTAAGCTCGTTTAGGAATTGTTTTGAAGGAACAATAAAACAATTATTGCACAATTCGGCTTTCGTATCATCGGAAGAATTATGGAGATCGAGGAGGGTGTTATCCTAAGACAATAGAACTCACTTGCATGTCACCAGATCGTGTACCTTGAAAACCGGATGCGCCAGTCGTGCCAGCAAATAAAATCTTCTCAGTCAACCGTAAAAAAGGATAATTTATTGCATTTGTAATTGTTTTATTTTTAAGTTAGCAGGTACATAACGCCATAAATGACTGGTCCCACTGTTGCCATCGGGGCCACTCATTAAATGCTTTTTCTTACATTCTGACTAGTATTTTTAATTGTGTTTGATCTCAGACTGGTCAAGGCTCAGTTCCTAAAGCAATTGGAAAATCACTGTTATTAATTCTGAATTATTTTTTGGCCACGGCTTAACTCAAATAATAATATGGGAGGTAGCTTTTTTTACCAAATAAAACCACCCACCTTCAAAATATAAAGGAAACTAGGCTTTTATCTACTTGAGAGGCACACGCTATCAAACTAATTCCTTCTAATGGTGGACAGCTCCTGACGGTCAGTAACAATCACGGTGAAATCCCCTTTAATCATAACTGAAAGTTACAGGTGGTGGTCCGAGCCAGTTTCCACCGTTTAAGGAAGAAACAAAGCAAAAACACACTTTCAGGAGTTTGACATGTATACTTTTCCCAAAGATGCATGATTCAATCCCTCCCTGGATACATGGCCTCCGGGGCTTTTCCTATAGTCCCGGCACCAGCGCGCGTTATTGGGAGAATGTCAAGCGTTTTCCTGGATTCTACTCTGAATCCACATTCTGTAGTGATTATAATGGCCTAAAAATACGCAGACACTTGTTGCTCTTCAGATGCTTTATTTCATATTTCCTACAGTGGACTACACTATCAGACCTATGTAAAAACTATACCACTACACCAGTCTGAGTACAATGGTACAAGGGGTTCAGAAGAGGGAATGTTATAAGTTCAGCTCATCGTTTCGTTTCGTCCAATAAGGCTCCTGGTTTCGTCTTAACGCAAGAACACTGCCAAGACGTCTGCCTCCCCTACGTCTTCTGGAAGAAAATAAAGAAAATAGAATTAAAGAAGAGTTATAACTTACAGCTCTTTTTATGTTGGAGATCACCAACTATGCTAGTAGGCAGATTGAACTAGCCGATCAAAAATTAGCCGCTAATTACAACCAAAACACAAATGAAAGACCAGAAACAAAAGTCAAAATGGACGAGACAACTAACTAGACAAGCTTGCATTCGAGTATAAAATTTAAAAGAAAAAAACTTGAAGATATTTCGGTTTGCAAGACAAACCTTCCTCAGGGGCTTAAAAGAAAACTTAAAATGTAGACCTGAAACAGATCGTTACAGAGTAAAAGTATGAACATTTTTTTAAAAAACAGATAACCATTGGTATCGATAACTAGGTAACATCCGCTATCTGTTCATTCCTTGAGGAAATTAAACAGTGTTTTCGCTCTTGATCTTTCAAGACGAAGTGAGCGTCCCGAGCCTTTCTGACTGAGACTGTGTTCACACGGAAACGGACGAATTTTCGACCGTTTGAAAATTCGTTCGTTTAGGTGTTCCTGTCACTCACAAGCGACTGTAAAGTTTGTACAAACAAAATAATTTTCAGCGAGAGCGGTATAGTCGCTAGGGGCTCCGTGTAGACGTCTCCTGTGTCGTTTGTTGTTCTCGGAGAGAGACAACAAGGAAATGTGAGACGTCGGTGTTCAGGCTATACGAGTAGTCGCCTACACAGCAGTCTTAATGGTTGTCACGTGGGGTAGATCTTTCGTCATCAACCCCATAAATAATCTCCCACTAGCCTCAACCCGCAACCCCCCTTCCCATCCCCTAATGAGTGTGATAATATTCCAATAACCAAGAATTCTATTCCTTCTTGCGGTTTGCTCTTTTTTAACTTTTCGCCATAAGAGAAAAGAATAGAAACATTAATGTCATACAGACACAAAGTGTTGGTTAACTCACTTTTCTTCTCCCATGTAGTGTATTTTGATAACTTGCTGTACAGTATGGGGTTTTTGTGTTGGTGACCCCTTTCCCAGTCACATTCTTTTCCAGCAATTACCATCCACCCGGTATCACCGGCGCAATTTCCTGCATAGGCTCGGTTGACGAAGAAGTGCCGCTTCTTTGTCGTGTCTCCACTGATTGAAAAGTAGTTCTTTGACTCTTTTTTGATATCAGACCACTGGCTGCTGTGAGTCAGTTTGGAGACGCTAAACCAGTTTTGGTTGTCCGTTCCCTTGGCGCTGAATTTCAGTTCCACTGTCGAATTTCCTCCTTTATAAAGGCTAACTCGAGCCTAGTAATGAAACATCTAATTAAATTTTTGTAAAGCAGCCATTTCGTACGGTCAAGACATTTTCTGCAGTAGTTTTCCAGTTTTAACCAAGCAGTTACACAGCTGGTCTTGTTTCCCTTAACATCTTACTCACGCTTAGAACACGGACATTAACTATCTCATTGGAACTCTAGTATAAATAGCGGATGTATCTAAGGAATGGGAGGGGCTAATGTAGGGGGCCTTGTTTCAAGTTATTTAAAATTGCCTTAGCATTGAGGTGGTCTCTGTTTGAGAGGGATGATTGTAATATTTGTTAGAAAGTACCTCAGATGCGTCAAATATTTCCCAAAATAAAACTATCCTGTTCTTGTAGTGATCGCGGTACTTGTTAGTGACGTCAAGAGCTTCCACCTTATCCTCGGAAGAGGTTTGATCAGATTTATAAACTTCATAGACATTTTTCTCCACTCCGCCCACAGCCTTAAACACCATCGTCCAACCTAGATAAAAAGCGTTAATCGCAGTGGGTTGCATAAAAACTGTGACGTCAAAAATTTAGTAGATTGTTTTCCAAAGTTGCTAATCTATGTGTTGTTCCCAAGCCCTATAGCACCTTTTTCAAAAGAGGCAAGGGCTCGAGACACCTTGGAAAAGAGGTTTCAACTTTCGCAGTGCATATAGAGCATAATGGCTAGAGTGCAAAACAAGCGACTTTGTTTTCCCCAAATCAGTGCAAGCAAGGGGCGAAGCACTTTTGCAAACTCCAAAGATTTGGTAGGGCCAGTTGAAAACAAAGGTTGTTTTGCTGCTTACTAAATAGCTCGAAGAATTCAGAAACGGGGAAAATAAAATAACTCAAAATACTGAAAGAAAATAATAGAAAAAAAACTGAAGACTGATAGAAAAAATGGCGATTTGCTAGAGCGAACGATGTTTTGCATAAGGGAATATTTGAAATGAATAACAAAACAAATTTTTAATTCGGCTTTCGTATGACAGGAAGCAGATTTATGCAGAACTCGGAGGTTGTTGTCCACCTCAGCCTCTGGCTCCGGCTAACAACACCATTGTCAATCTTTATCAGCCTCCTCCATTCTTCTCTCAACCTCATCCAATAATCGTTTTATCTATCTCAGTAACGTAAATAGAATCGTGAGTCCTTTTTAATCTCTTGACTGGAACTAGAATAAAACATCTGACAAGAAAAATAAAAACAGCCACTGACAATAAAAAGTCTAAAGCAATGGCTTTATGTTACTAACCTCCAGCGTCCATGTCACAGAAAACTGGAAATGCAGTTTTTGGAACTATAAAACAAAAAAAGAACAAGAGAATATGTGGGTTCTCGTGACTACGCTTAGCCTAATACTTAAAGGGCTGAAAAGGAAAGATTTAGAGTGTTTCACAAGGGGCAATATACGCATACGTGGACCAGACGTTAGCGCTAAAATATATGTACGGTCATAAGAGAAGGCAACATGCTATATGTTCATTTTGTCTGCCTGTTTTATCCCAGACAGATCATCAATACTTGGAAACCCCGAAACAACGCCACGCACATCACATCATGTATCCAGATTTTTTGAATCCGCGATCATTGATGCGGAGTGACTTTCCGTCTTTATGTGTCCGATGAAAAACGGTCACCGAATCGGCCACTTTTAGAAAACGCTAGTTTGCCATACTCGTGTGGACGGAAGAAAACGGAACTTTTTTGAAAATGATGGCGTCTCCGTATCTGAACACTGACTATGTTTCACTGTTACTTTCCGCCCAAACATTTTTTTCTTTTTTTCTGGTTAAATATTCACGCTGGTTATCTCAAAATACGACTAGTTCAGTAGAGCTTTTAATTACCACTGTTCTCGAAAATCGAGGCGTTTAACAACCAAACAGATTTCCACAACTTTAAAGGATACAGGTTAAACCAATATGCAAACTTACTGTTTAGAGCCCTCGCCATCTGGGCGCCGAGTGACGTTCAGGTTGTACTCAGGTTGTGCCCAGATACGTTTTCACTCGCCCAAAGTATCCTTCATAGCACATTTATTAGCAAAAAATTATACGCTGTTTTCTAAAGATAATACCAAAATCTGGCCAAAACTGCGCTGCACTTGCCTATAATACTACGATCGGTTAAATGCTTCGGTCGCCTTAGCTTAAAGGGACAGGTTCACGGTTGAGCGCATGCTCATTCGTCAAAATGCTGTTTTTCTGCCGGGACATGCTGTATCGTCTATGCAAGCAATATGATCATATCATAATGTTGTCAAAGAACCAATCTGCACACTCCCCTGGCAGTCACTTGCACTTGATCAACTTAAATATTTGCAAATAGCTGTAAATTAATCATCCATGGAATAAAACCTTCGGGTCAACAATAAATTCAACGTTGGTAGTGTTGGCATAATCTATTTTTTCTTTTTGCGATTTTAGTACTCCTCCATCCTACTTCGTTACTCTGAAATACACTTGTACTTTGAAAAACACTCTGAGATTGCTGAGGTACATGTGAGTGGGATTATTAACCGATGGAATATATAATAAATTGGAAAAAAGTAATTTAATTCATGAGCATGAGCTTAACCATGAACCTGTCCCTTTAATCAGTTGCAGTTCTTTGAAAAGCTAAAAGGCTGTATCTTGATTGAAGTAAAGATAAATTATCATTACTTACCAGACGGACACCCCAAGAGTTCTATCCTCATAGAAATATGACTATACCACGTTTTAGGTAGTATCCGAATGTAGCGTGCGTGTATGGAAGGGTTCAAAGCGTTCGAAACCACGCTGTAATAGTTCGTGTTTCCTTGAAAGATCTGCAGTGGTAAATGAAATGTTACTAAGATTTAGAGATGCTGGTCATGATAAGTTTTGCGTGTCCTCTGTCCTGGACAGGGGAACTGCGCCTGAACGCTGTGACTTATAAAATTACTTACATTAAATGTTCAAATTACACTCATTCCCAGTTAAATGTAGCAAACAGATATTTTACTGTCTGTCTGTCTGTATTTGACAGTAAGGGTGTTGTTTTAAAGTTTTTAATAAACTCATCGGACGGTTCTATTGTCATAACACAGCATTTTAGACAATAATAGATGCTTACTATTTTAGCATACAAGAGAAAGCCCTGAAAAGTGCCAATTTGGCATGTCCGCAGCATATATATACAAACTATTTTAAATTCTCAACAGCAATGGCTTTGGGATACCCCTCTCAGATAGAGCAAACCTTTGTGTATAGGAAATGAGCTTTCAAATAAGCCCATGACCTCAGGAATTCCATAATTTTGCAATAACCTCCGTTACCTTAATTCATAGACATGTGATAAATGTAAGAAAACTGAATTGGCACGAAGCGTTTGCTGAAATTTATCCTGCATTGTTCTTGCAGAATTTATCGAACAGAAACCAAAAATATTTCCTGAATTTGCAATCTGACATCATCAGTTTTTACTGAGAGGTTATGGATAAGAGCATAACCTCGATTCGTTACCTCGATATTTCCATGGAACGTAAACCGCTCGATAGTATCCATTTGTGTGCTTTATTACCTTTATTCCTTCGTTGCTTTAAGGGTAAGGGAAAGTGTGAAAATTTTATTTTGCGTGAAAAATTTCCTTTTGAAAGTCAAAAAAGGACCTTCCGTTACCTGGGTTACCGATAACCTCCGTTACCGACCTCATCCATCTAATGCCGAAATTAAGGTAAACAGGACTTCAGTTGCAAGGTTACATTCATGCGACACGTTTGCCGGATTTGTGAATGGCCTGTCACCATTTATTTACCATACTGAAATCTGATTTCTAACATTTTTATGAGGTATTACCGAAATTACTTAACCTTCTCCTCAATATCTGTAGGAAAATTTAGGGTACAGTAGCTGTAAGTCTATTTAGTGAGCAATAAAACAGTGATATCTACAAGTTATTCAAAAAAGAGGACGAAACATTGTGGTCAAGACATGATAACGCAATTAGCAACGAAAGTTACTTGTGATATTAACCGCTTACCAATAGAGCACGAGGGCCGTACTGGGGAATATTGGCTCTCACTCGTGGCAGTACGGACCTCGCTGGGCTCGGTCCGTTCTGCCACGACCGATCGAGGGCCGTTAGTAAGTTGTTTATTATATGGCACTCGACTTCTGATAGTAAATTGCACTTTCGGTGGCTTGCACTTAAAGGGCTTCTGCCGTGACGTATTCTTGATGACGCGAGCAACTCAGACAAAAGCAGGCTACTACGAGTTCGAAAAACAAATTCATTGAATGTGAAATCGTCTTAAATTAGCTTAAACAAAACTTCAAAAACGCTTTATAACGGAATCTGACAAAAGCAATTGTTGATTCTAAAATTCGAGAAAGGTTTTTTAGTCGATCAAACGATACTTTCTTGATTACAAAATATGGATCAAGTCAGTATCACGTGAAAGTCTAAGTTTCAAGCTGTGAAAATTATCAGGGCATATTAGTTGACAAAAATAGCTTCAAAGTCAATCGTCCTCATCGCTGCGATAACGATTCGACGCTTCCTTTCATTCTGGGCAATTTTCACACTACCATGAAATATTTGCAATGTGCACCTGCTGATGGATCCTATGTTTGCACCTGTAAAAACTGGAGCGGTGGAAGACAGTAACGGATCGCTTGACTGATATTCTCTTGCTCGGAGACCGAGGTGCTGTATAAAAACGACCACACAGTTCTTTGAAGCGCAACTGGATCGTGTCAGAACAAGTGACTTTCGCTTCGCTGCAAGGACTTTTCTGGATTTTTTGAAATCATTGTCCTTGGATATGTTGAATGCGTGTATCGCTGTAAGCTTATACTGGTCTGGAAACTGGAAACTGTCGCTGGCTCTTATTCTTCTCCGTTTTTCCTCCGTGCGTTCAATCAAATTTCGACAAAAAGTGGTCAAGCTCGGACGCAGGTAAGCTTCCAATTTTCTCATTTTTCATACCAAATTAGCTTCAATGCAGCGGAGAAGAGTGTTCATATCAGTAACCGTCTTCTTGTTTGTGTTTGAACTTTTCTGTTGGTTGATAAAATCGTTTTGGGCCTCCTGGCTTTCGGCGATGCCGCTTTCACTTTCTGCATCAAAAATTTCCAGATGTTCAGGATAATACTGACCTCGCTCGGAGAATGTTCGTCTTCTTCATCCATCTTTGAAATCTCAGTAAAATTTCAATCAGTCCATACGGCAAAATCCCGATTGAGAAAGAACCAATCAGAGCGCAAGGATTTGCCTAAGAATGGCTTTGCCATATAATACCATCTGTTATAATGCCACCGACTGAACTTACTGACAATTTAAGGTGGCTCGAGACAGTTATTCAGGGTCAATACCTCCCAGGTTAGAGCATAAACTACGTCGCCATAAACAAAGATTTGGAAAATTTCCACCACAGTTGTATTAGATAAAGATGAAAATTTGTTATGATCAGGGTTGCAATGACATTGGAGTTGTCATAGCAATGAAATGACGCCATTGCTTATTTTAATTGCAGCAGTATTTCTCGACACTGGGGGGCTTTTTCCTGCAATAGCTGCATCGATGTTCGAGAAGTTTAAGCGAAATCTGTAAGAGCGTAATCGAGATATTTTGGGATGAAGTATTAATGGATAGAAATACAGCAAAAAATGGACAATCTTGATGTTTCGCCGTTATCTGTAGAAAACGAAACGCTTTTGACGTACAATTTCACCTCATAGTAGTCTAAATCTTTAAAAAAACGTGTGTGAAAGATAATGGAGATGGCTCCAGCCGACTGCTAGAAAGGAGGATTTGATTAGTATGTATCGAGGTGCTCTTGTTAGCGGTTTTGTAAACGTTTCGGTCCACTTTAACAAACTAGCCAATAATTTTTAAACCGCTCGATAGACAGACAAAGGCCAAACATCAAGATTGTCCATTTTTTACTGCATTTCTAACCATTAAAACTTCATCCCAAAATATCTCTATAACACTCTCATCGATTTCGCTTAAACTTCACAAACATCGATGCTGCTATTGTAGGAAAAAGCTCCCGTGAACGATTTTGGAAGAACAGTTCCCAGTACCGAGAAATACTGCTGCAAGTAAAATAGGTAATGGCGACATTTCGTTGCTATGACAACTCCGATGTCATTGCAACCCTGATCATACCAAATTTTTCTCTTTATCTAATACAATTCTGGTGGCAATTTTTCCAAATCTTTGTTTATGGTGACGTAGTTTATGCTCAAATTTGGGAGATATTGACCCTGAATAAGTGTATCGAGCCACCTTAAAAGACTTTTCCATACTGTCTTAGACATAAAAAGACATTATTGTATATCCAACATCTCAGACAATAGTTTTCAGTTTTTCATACAGGGAACGCTTATTCGAACATAAATGGTAATTGCCTGATAGGCTCTTGAAACGATTTTCAGTTGACTTTATACCTTGTCTTGATTGTTTTCCTTATAAGTTTGGAAGGTGGAGCCATCGTTGCTATAGGAGACACGGTAACTTTTAACCCATTGATGCGCGTTATATCGTCCCTGGGTCTTTATTCCTGTCACCTCAGTTTTCTTACCAAGATCCACCTGCAGCCACTGATGAGCGTTATTAGATGTGGGAATCCATGAGCCACCACCGGAATTCAATCTGGCATTGTAGGATTGGTATGGAGAGTGGTATTGACTGGAAGCTGTGATCTGTGCATTGCTTATGCCTCCCTTCTCCATCCCGAGTGGGTTTGAACATGCTATACGCAGACAATGAAGGAAAAGAAAGGAAAATCGCGAACGTTAGGTGGGTGAGGTGGCGAGGTGGTGAGAATACTCCGGCCTCCCTAGCCTGTTCCAGGCTCCCAGATAGTCGGGTCCGCGAAATTGAGAAAGCGTGAACACGCCGAGGAAAAATAAAACGGGAGGAAAGTTTTTCCTGCCACCGCCCCCTTTTCCCAGATCACGCACCTACGCGTCATCCCTACCATCTGAGAGCCTGTAACAGGCTTCGGCCCTCCACCACCGTGGCCCAGCCAAGTTCGAGATCCCGTAAACAACGCCATAAGTAACTGAGCTGAGTTTCACATTTCCCGCGTCCCAGAGTTCAGGGTTCGAACCCCGACAAGCCTGAAATTTTTCAAGGCCTTCTTTTCGCAACTGCAGTTGGGTTTTTAACTGCGATGAACTTCTCTATATTAATTTCTTCATTCCGCGGTTCAAGTATATGAAATTCACATACTCATCACTTAGCTTCCGTTGATGCGCATCTGATTTTGTTGTTGTTGTTATTATTATTCTTTTATGTAAAACGCAACAAACAAAACTAAGTATTTGTAACCAATAATGAGTGTCTCAGGAGTGCCACGTTTTGTTTTAACAACTTCAAGTTAGAAGGACAAATCTGTAAATAAAGAAAAAATCAATACGTGGCTTAACTAAATGGACACGGATGAGAACGATTTTATCATGATCAGAAGTTACAAGTAGCAGTAACCAACTTAAAACGAGTTGATACAGCTTGAAGGTTTGTTCATTTAACAATTACATCAGAAACAATAACTTTAAGACACAGTTTAGCACAGGCCAGTCTAACTAACCTTTGCTGCGTCGTTTTAGCAAAATCCAGTAGACTCCATTCGCACGATTCTCTTTCGCTTTGTCCCTGATATCTTTGATATCTTTACACGATTTCCCTGGGTATGACTTGCTCCCGTAGTCTAGCTTTGGAAAAACGGAGCCTTGGCTCACAATGATTTTTCCAATGTGACGACGATTAGAGAAGTTATTATTGCGCGTGCCCATGTAACAGTATTCCCCAGGCAACATGATGCGGAAACATGGTGGATTACAGGAAGCTGGTGCATTATTAAGCTCAGCGTTCAATGAGGCGGAACCAGTGTAACAGCCTTTATTGAGGTGTAGATTCAACTCGTCGCTGTCAAATTTATTCACATGATCAACCACATCAAGAATCGAACTGGAACAAGATGGGGGTTTGAGGGAACTGCATCCTTCCTCCACCCAACATACGTTGGTGCGATCCGTTTCTAAATAGAAAACAACGGTCATACAACTGTAGGTCCGATGTGGGTTCTGCGTTAAATATTTAAACATGATACTTACGGACAGAAAGACTACCATCGGTACCCTCGATACTATGATCCCCGCCGACAGTATCGATACCTTCGATACTGAGCCCAGCTTAACGCCTATCGATGACAGAAGGCAAATTGTAAAAGCTTTGGAATATGGACGGAAATGGCGTCAGCTACATTGACAATTTTTTATGTTATTTAAGTTCGATGTAGCAGGCCGTCTGTAATCTGGAACCAGCCAGATTCAATCAGCGAATTATTCACGGGACAAATTTTGGTGTAACTTAAGTTGTAATGGCGTTACTCTCATGATCGCTTTATACTAGGTAACAGTTTTTTGACATTCCGAAAAAACCGTAGGAACGAAAGTAGCGACCTCTAAATAAAGGTAAAGAGAACGGTATTAAATTTCACATCTTAAGTTTTCGCGGACATTTTTGTCACGGGTCTTATCACTTACGATCTGTCCCTTGCCCAGCACGATTCTTGGGATTATGGTTTGAACCTGAAAAAAAAGAAAAAGTGAGGAAATTAGAATGGGAGCTCAGTTCTACAGGATCCATACATTTCCATAAAGACTAAGCTGAGAACA